CCCCCAGACCCTCCAAGACCCCCATTTTCACCCATTTTTACCCCATTTTTACCCATTTTTTCACCGTTTTTGGCCGTTTTTTCACCGTTTTTCCCCATTTTTCCCCATTTTTTCCCGTTTTCCCCCCGTTTTCCCGGGATATCCTGAGGGCCAGCACGAGCAGCAGCAGCCCCAGGGCGGGCACAAACAAACCCCCATTTCTGACCCCCAAACCCCCATTTTTACCCCATTTTTACCCCGTTTTTGGCCGTTTTTTCACCGTTTTTCCCCATTTTTTCACCATTTTTCCCCATTTTTTCCCCATTTTTCCCCATTTTTTGCCCATTTTTCCCCATTTTTTCACCGTTTTCCCCCATTTTTTCACCGTTTTTCCCCATTTTTTCACCGTTTCTCCCCATTTTTTCCCATTTTCCCCCGTTTTCCCGGGATATCCTGAGGGCCAGCACGAGCAGCAGCAGCCCCAGGGCGGGCACAAACAAACCCCCATTTTTACCCCATTTTTACCCTGTTTTTGGCCGTTTTTTCACCTTTTTTCCCCATTTTTTCACCGTTTTCCCCCATTTTTTCACCGTTTCTCCCCATTTTTTCCCATTTTCCCCCGTTTTCCCGGGATATCCTGAGGGCCAGCACGAGCAGCAGCAGCCCCAGGGCGGGCGCGTAGGAGCCGATGGACACGAAGCGCGCCAGCGACGGCAGCAGGTACAGGAAATAGGATTGGTGCAGCCGCTCCAGGAGATTGTTCAGCTTCCGGAACATTCCCTCCAGGGTCCTGCGTGGGGAGGGGGCTCAGGGGCACCCAGACCCCTCCCCAAATCCCGGGGGAACCCCCTGGGATCCCCCTAACCCTGCAGAGGGATCCCCTTCTGGAACGTTCTCTGGAGATGGGATGGGGGGGGGGCAGGGGAGAGCCCCGGGAATTCTTCCCTGGGAGAGATCATGAAATCCATCTAGGAACCTCAAAATACCCCAGAAACACCCCAAAAACACCCCAAATACCTCAAAAACACCCCAAAAACACCCCAAAACCACCACAAATACCCCAAAAACACCCCAAAAACATCACAAAACCCTCAAAATACCCCAAAAACACCCCAAATACCTCAAAAACACCCCAAAAACACCCCAAAACCACCACAAATACCCCAAAAACACCCCAAAAACATCACAAAACCCTCAAAATACCCCAAAAACACCCAAAATACCCCAAAACCACCCCAAAACCACCACAAATACCCCAAAAACACCCCAAAAACAACACAAAACCCTCAAAATACCCCAAAAACACCCAAAACACCCCAAAACCACCCCAAAAACACCCCAAATACCCCAAAACCACCCCAAAAACATCACAAAACCCTCAAAATACCCCAAAAACACCCCAAATACCCCAAAAACACCCCCAAAACACCCCAAATATCACCAAAACCACCCCAAATACCCCAAAAACCCATCCAGGAACTTCAAAATACCCCAAAAACACCCCCAAAACACCACAAATACCCCAAAGCCACCCCAAAACCCATCCAGGAACCTCCAAATACCCCAAAAACACCCCAAAAAACACCATAAAAACATCCCAAATACCCCAAGAACACCCTAAAACCTCTCCAGGAACCTCCAAATAACCCAAAACCACCCCAAATCCACCCCAAAAACACCCCAAAAACCAAAAACACCCCAAAACCACCCCAAAAACACCCCAAAAACCAAAAACACCCCAAAAACACTCCAAAAACACCCCAAAAACCAAAACCACCCCAAAAACACCCCAAATACCCCAAAGCCACCCCAAAACCCCTCCAGGACCACCTGGGATCCCCCCAGGAATCCCAAAACTCCCCCCAGACTCACAGAACTCCCCTCAAATCCCCCCCGGGACCCCCAAACCCTCCCCAAATCCCCCCCGGGACCCCCAAACGCCCCCCCAGGACCCTCAAACCCCACCCAGGACCCCCAAAGCCTCCCTAAATCCACCCTGGGACCCCCCCA